AATTCTTCTGTATTTGATTCTGAATTGTTTGACTCGAGATATAACATATTTAGAAGGGACAGACAGTCCTCCTGTTCTAGCAAAGTTGACGGAGGTGGCGTGGCTGTGGCTGTAAAAAATCAATATAATGTTGTAAGGCGCGCTTCATGGGAGAGCAAGTATGAGGACATTTGGTTATCTATTTACTCTAAAGATAATGTATTTATTCTAAATGTATGTATATGTTATTTACCACCAGATCTTCATAGTAGTGATGTCAGGTGTTTTTACGAGAACTTAGAGAAGGTTGTATTGAATGGTCTTGGCAGGGAGGATGGATTTCTAATTATTGGTGATTTTAATACTCCAAATATTGCATGGTCGCCCGATTTGGATGGCTCGCTTAAGCCTGGCATCCTTTCGACCTCAAATCTTGTTACTTGTCTGATGTTATGGCATTGTGTGGCTTGCGGCAGTTTAACGGGATTTCCAATCAAAACAATCGTTTGCTTGACTTGGTTCTTTCGACGGTCTCCATAGTAGTATCATCAGCTGCTGAACCATTGTCACGCATAGATGTTCATCACCCTCCACTTAAAATAGTACTAAGGAATCTAAAGATACCCAAATATATAAAAAGTAGACGCCATGAAAGGTTTAATTTTCATAAGTGTGATTATAAGGCATTGTGTTGTGATCTATTGCGAATAGAATGGAGTAAGATTTTATCGCCCATTGATGTGGACATTGCGGTATCATCTTTTCAAAATACGCTACTTGAATTGATATCTAAACATACTCCTTTAATAAAAGCTATGGGTAGCGATTATCCCTCATGGTATTCACCTGCTTTAGTCAAATGTCTTAAAGAAAAGGATAAATTTCACAGACGCTTTAAAAAATATTGTAATCCTCGTGATTATGACACGTTCACACTCTTACGTAAAAGATGTAAAGTGCTAATAAAGTCTAATTATACATCGTATATATCTTCAATTGAATCATCGCTTAAGGAAGACGTACGGGCTTTTTGGAAATTTGTTAACAATAAAAAGCGTTCCTGTGGCATTCCTCAGAACATGTATTTGGGGAATGCTACTGCTACAAGTACGAAGGATATCTGCGAGCTTTTCTCAAATTATTTTAGCTCAGTTTTTGAAAGGAATGCCGTAGTAGGAGATATTACGAGTTTCCAAACTCAGTATCGAGATAATAATCTCATCTCCCAAATTAAAATATCACCAGATGAAGTATTAAAAAAATTAAAACAACTTAATTCCAATAAGGGGGCAGGTCCAGATGGTATTCCCACTATTTTTGTAAAACGCTGTGCTGAAGAACTTTGCGTGCCTTTAGCAATCTTGTTTAATAAATCCTTAAACAGTGGCACTTTTCCATCAGCCTGGAAACTTGCTCATGTCATTCCTGTACATAAATCTGGAGATCCAAAGGACTGTGAAAACTATAGGCCCATTAGCGTGCTCTCATGTATACCCAAGGTCTTTGAGTCTCTTGTTTATGATTATTTATACCATCACGTTAAATCTATGCTTTCAGAAGATCAACATGGTTTTGTCAAAAACAAATCGACTGTTACAAATCTTCTTGAATATAAAAATTACTTATGTAGAGAGTTCGGACAATCAGGTCAAGTTGATGCTATTTATACAGACTTCAAAAAAGCCTTTGATAAAGTGAATCACGATCTATTGGTCCGCAAGCTTGCCGGCTACGGTATTCATGGAAGCCTTCTCAGATGGATCCAATCATATTTAAGTAATAGGAGTCAATTGGTTACTATTAAGGGAGTATCTTCTTCACCCATTTCTGTGTTATCCGGTGTGCCCCAAGGATCACATCTTGGCCCTTTATTTTTTATTATTTTTATAAATGATCTTGTAGATAAACTGAAATGCCCCCGGGCTCTATATGCGGATGATCTCAAGATCTTCTATGCCGTTAAAGATATTACTGACTGTCAATTTTTGCAAACCGACTTATACGTTATACAGAAATGGTGTAGAGAGAACTACATGTATCTCAATGTATCAAAATGTTTCGTGATCTCATTTACAAATAAAAAGAACAAACTAGTTTACAATTACGATCTTGACGGTCAGTTTATTACTAGGAGGATGGTGGTCAGAGATCTTGGCATAGAGTTTGATGAAAAGTTATCATTTAAAGAGCATTATAGTACATTAATTACGAAGTCATCTAAACTTCTTGGTTTTATTGCTAGGGTCACGGTTGATTTTAAGAATCCCCATAGCCTTATTCTTTTGTTTAATGCTCTGGTACGAAGTATTCTTGAATACGGTTCTGTTATATGGTCACCTTGCTATAAATGTCATTCCGATAGAATTGAATCTGTTCAGCGAAAATTCTTAAAAATTCTAAGTTATCGTAATGGTTATGGGCGGGTTCTATCAAGTTATGAAAAAAGACTAGAAAAATTTAATGTGACTCTCTTATCTACAAGACGAAAACAGATCGACTTACTTACTTTACACAAAATAGTTCATTACCATATTCACTCGGCTTCTCTACTCTCTGCTTTGACCTTCAATATAAAAACTGTAACACGGAGTTCTAAAACATTTGCACTCTGCGTTTATAAGAACAATACATCGTATTATAACCCGCTTATCCGTATGTGTCGTACTTTTAATGAATTTTCAACTAAGTGTCCTCAAATTGATATCTTCAACTCACGTCTAAACAACTTTAAAAGCATTTTGCAATCGGCCATCGGGTCTCTTTGACATGTCCATATTCTTTATGTGTTTTTATCGTTTGCATGTGCTTCGCTGTTTTTTGCCAATTTCATGTGCTTTCATTGTATAGCTTTGTAATTTGACATTGTATACCGACTGCTTTGACCATGCTGTGCATACACGAGTCTGGGTCTCAATCTGGTTCGGTCTATTGTCTTTGTATAATGTCTATCATGTTATTGATTGTAGCCTGTTGTGTGTGCCTTTAATAAATAAATAAATAAATAAATGTTTAAAATGCTAGAAAGAGATAACAGTGACACACATTGTTAACAATTTTGTAAGTACACCCCATACCATCTAAAAATACGCTCATTTCTAACCGCTCAGTGACGGGGGGAAGGGATTGTTAGTAATGGAGAGGATACCCTCCATTGATATCAATATCAGGTTGACCTCCACGCGGTACCCCCTGGAAACTATTGTGACTAATTTATCGTTGAATTCGTCACGATGGGCTAACTGACCTGCCTTTTCATCCTCAGCTATCTCTCAATGGTACCCCGCCAGTATATAGCGCAGGCTGGGTTACCATGCCATTTTCACCCATTAGATAAAAACCTATCAGTGACGTAATATTTTATATATCTATTAAAATTTTGTTTAAATTTTTAGTATTGGAAAACATTGTAAAAGAACCAAATGAATCCGAGAAGCGAAAGACTGGCCCCTTCTCACGTTGGGTTTAAATGTATCAGCTAAATATAAACACGCCAGATATTACGTGTTGAACGTAACACTATCACACAGGTAACAGTCGACGACTGCCTACCCCATTAAGGATTATAATCGTGAAGTACTTACCCTACCAGCAATTAGATATTGCTTTAATTTTTTTTATACATTAGACCATATCCTAATACAGCTAATTTAAATACAATATCTGAATTAAGTATTTGGACCCCCTAGACAAAGTACAAAGGATCCTATTTATAGAATAATAATCTAGTGAATACATTAGACAGAATGAGACGGTAATGACAGTTTGTCTTTTCTTATGCATGCGATGAACGACATGATTCGTGAAGGGAGTGAGGCCTATTATGTGCCTTATAAAATGTTTGTTTTGTTTCAGATATTCTATATATTGTATACAGTGTCGTATGCGGCGTTATTCGTATTTGCCTACGTCACGCTACGCCAACCTGAACACCGTGGGAACAATGAATACGTCTGCATTGTAGCGTTATTAATTTTCATCTTGTTCCAATTTTACCTTTTTATTCATTTAATGACTCTGTATTGTTATTATTTTCTGTATAACTCAACGAACTCATTAGGGTGTGATATTACCTTTGGAAAACGTGTGATATTCATAGTATAGTTTGTTTTAATAGAATTTATTAAAAATTTAAACAAACGAATCATTGAAACTACCTTAAGACAGTCTAACAAAAAGTAATCAATTAACTTATACAATTTGTAATTTATTTAATTTGAAGAGCGTTTCTGCGATAATTGATAATAATTTATCTTTTAATCTTCTAATTTGATGGTTTTGCATAATTAATTTTTTATTTTATTTAAAAAAAAAAAGAAACAAATTAAGTGCCGTTTAATTTCTTAAGGTTTTGCACGATAGTTCTTGTCAGTGCATCAAAAGGAGCTAACACACCAGGCTTGCGAGTGATGATTGTCAAGTCAATCACTACACGTGTCACTTATGTCTACACGTGAAATTTGTATTAAAAATTAACTTACATTTGAATGTTTTATATCAGACATTAACTGTCCATTACTGAACATAATAAGATTTCACATTTCTACAGTATGCATTTTATTTATATACGAGTAGTATTTGTATTCTACATAACATTTTGATTCATAAAAACAAAACCGACTTTCTTAATTCTTACAAATATTTATATAGTCGTTTTTACTTGCTTATATTAAAAACATAGCAATTTATTTATAGCGCGTTGTAATTATAGCAAACGCCATCTAGCGAGATGCAATTGAATTAATCCTGACGTACCGCTTACCAAGAATTTTGTTCGTCATACACAGACCGCCCATTTTGTGCCTGTACTTCATTTGTAGTCCAGCCACCATGCTAAGATAAATATAACGATGTTTTTATACCTTTTTTAAATGAACAATAACAATGCGTTTTTAACTATTTGGTAGAAGAAATAAAAAAGACAAACGATCCGCGGGGTCTTTCTCCTCTAGAGACTTGCACCGCACCGACCCTCTAGTTTTTACATAAAACGGGGATCTCTTGTATGGAAAATAAAGCTACCCTGATGCTTGTATGAACTTTATTAAATATACAGTTGTCAAAACAATTATAAAAATTACATTTTAGGGCTTAAAAACAAATTCTTCTAATTTCACAGCTAGCGCCTTTAGCACAGACTCTGGTGTGTATGGAACATCTTTAATAAAAAAAAAAAAAAAATTGTTATATATTTATATATAAATTACAATATTCCTTTACTACTATAATGTAAAAATGGATAGAATATTTGTTCTTTCATGCAAATATTACAAAATGGATTTCGAAGAAATTTGGGTGATGGATGAAGTTATATTATATTTTAAAATATAATATATTATATATTTATAGGTATAATTCATGCAGGTAAAGCCACAGGATACAGCTAGTATAAAATAAATACAAGTGCTCACGGCTGTAATTCCTTATGGGGTAGTTTGAGATATAGGTTATACACATATAATTTAATATAGCACACAAATTATAACAGACACAGATGTTCATAAAAAGCGAGATAAGAAAAATGATTAAAATAAAAATATTTAAAGCAAAGTACAATTTTTCCTTTTGTGCGTGTGCCATATCAAAACAAAACGGTCACAACTTAGTTTATTGCTTTGCCCTCAAAAGAGCAAAACACTGATATTCTGTTATGGCCAAAGGGAATAAGTATATCGAATTGTTACCGTCATAGTGACCAAAATATTCCCACGTAGCTGTGGGCGAGTGTGGTAGTCGCTGTCTTTCGGATGAATTTGATTTATTTACAGTGTAATGCAACTGACGACTTGATACTCTAGTAGCATACTGCTTTATCTTCTGATAGTCACGGATAGATCCACGCACATTGTAAACATTTATATTTATAGACATCTAAGTTTGTATTGTTCTGAGTATTTTTTTATGTATAATATATATGTATTTACAAATATATATATATATATATATATATATATATATATATATATATATATATTTAAGTATGTATTATGAATTCTAGACAACGGATAGCAGTTGCCTAGAAATCATAATACAAGCTTTGCTTAGTTTGGGACTAGATGATAATGATGTGATTTGTCCATTTATATTATACGTTAATTTAGTATTATTATTTTTGAAATTCCAAAGCATATTTGCATTGGGTCTTATTGTCACTATTTCCAATTTGTTGTAACTATGTGTGCTAATATATAAAATGTGTGTAAATATTGAAAAGTTTAAGTAACAATTAATTTACCTATATTTATCCACTCGTTAGGGTCGTATCCGGACTCCTTTCTTGATTCCATAATACATCTGCGTAAAGCATGTGTCACTCCATATGCAGTACATATGCCCATTTCTCCAACAGCTGCAAATGAGTAAGGCAAATTGATGAGTAATCGAATCTCTAAAGTATGTCTCGATTCTTTACAGTTACTGTAAATGTGGAGGCTTTTAAAAACAAGATAACTTATTTCAATATGCTATTATAAGCTGAGCAGTTACTTTCCTATATAAGTTAAAAAAAACTGACTAGATATTTTTTTAGATCAATAATTATTCTAAAGTTGATTTATGAAAACAACTGTTTTTCAATTCCTATGAAGAATATCACTTAATAGATTTAAAATTAGATTTTAAACAGGAAGTAAAGTTTTTATAACGCTTTGACTAAATAATGTGCTTATTTACTTACTTTTCGATCCCAATACACCTTTATGATTCTTAGAATTATATCGAAATTTCACCCTAAAATCAGCTGGAATATCCAAGGCCAGAGGTACATGGTATGTTAGAGATCTATTACTGAGCTTCTTGCCTGTATGCTCATCATAGACCATTTTCTCAGTCGTGAAGTATCCCAGACCCTGAATGTAACCTCCTTCTAACTGATATAAAAAAGATAAATATTATTAAAAAAGACAAAATTTTATTATTCAGATTTACGTAAATAGTTAATTTTCATACTAACCTGTCCAACATCAATAGTTGGATTAGCGCTTAGCCCTACATCTTCTAAAATATCTGCTCGTAACAATTCATATCGCCCTGTTAGAACATCTAATTGCGTTTCTAGAATTGCTACACCGAATGCACTATAGTTCGATAAGTCTTTTTCCTGATCTGTCATCATATATTTTGCAGTCAAATCAACTAGATCCTCACCAGCCTTCCAAGCGATCTGTTCCCACGTGGGATTTGTCAATTTCTGTTTTACAGGTTCCAGTCGCTTATTAAGTATTTCACAAGCTTTTATTATAGAGTAACATACACTTTCGCTTGTTATACTAGAACCCGAGAATACATTGTTAGCTGCTACAAAAGACATACTCGGTAAAACAGATATATACCGTAATGGGATATTTAATTCATGAGCGCATACTTGAGCTGCTTTGGTGTTAAGACCTTGACCCATTTCTATACCACCCGTGGTGATTGTCACAGTTCCATCTCCTCTGTATATAGACACCATAGCAGAATAATTTCCATAGTATTCAACTGGGAAAATCATAGGACTGATATGGATTGCCTTCTTTATCCAACGATTTGATTTATTGTAATCTTGGATTGACTTCTTTCGTTCATCGTAGTCGGCTTCTTTTTTTAATATGTCTATAAGTTGCGGTAAATCATTGTCTTCTTTTCTCATATTTGTAAGACGAACATCTGTAGCGTCCTTTTGTACACCATATGCAATGTGTTCCATTATATTCTCTATACAAATAATACCTTCTGATGTCCCTATATTAAATGCAAGATTTCTTTAAACTAAATGCTCAAAAGCTATGTAAAAGTATTTATTAGATACTTTTACAATACTATGAAAATATCATAATATCTCACCTGGTGCTCGCATAAAGGTGTTACATGGCAAATCAGTGAACACGGAAGCAAATTTTACGCTCATGTAATCAGAATTGTAGCAATTCGGAAAGCCTCCCGCTGTGTAAGAAATGACTGAATCATTGATGGAGTATCCTTGATCTTGCACGACAGTCGCTTGTAAGTATTGGATTTCCCCGTCGTCATCCACGCCGACCTAAAAATAATATTATTCTAGTAATTAGCTTTATCTAATTATTTTATGATGATAGATGATTTAAAAATACGGGGTATATAACCATATATATCGAAATTCTGTTTTTACTGATATCATATCGAATTTATTGTTTCATAAAAATATATTTATACTTAAAACTATAACAGGTTTCTATACATTTATATACCTCATAATCGCATTGTGTTGGGAATCTTCCACCGACAATGGACATGTTAGTTTGCATTGGTAGTATGAAACGGCACGGTAACGTCAACTTATGGGCCACTAGAGCACACGCTGTGGCCGCCTGCACATTTCTACTAATTTTGCCACCAAATGCGCCCCCACAACGGCGCACTTTCATTAGTATTCTGTAAATTCGATATATTCATTAGAAAATATTTAATAGTAACAAATAATTAAAACATTTTTAAGTTTGAGTAGTAGTATAATGAAACCTTTAAGTTCTGTGAAATAAACTTAATAACTATTTACCAACATTCGCAAGGAGTTTCAATATGATCTCGATTTATGAAACTATATATTTTCTTAAAATCATTGAAATCAGATACTCACTGACTTTCCTTTATATCCAAACATTGTGCTATTGCTATTTGACTTAAATCCATCCATTGCGTAGACTCGTATACTTCAAGTCCATCGTCTACAGGCACCACTACACAAGATATTGGCTCCATGTAATAATGAAATTGTGTTCCTACTTCATATAAGCCTTTTATAGTTTTTGTAACATTACTTCCACGGCCTTTAGGATCAATACTTTCATCGCTTGGCACATATCTTTTGCTATCTTTTTTTGCTCTATCTATTGTCGTAACTGGAGCCTCAAAACTTATATTTTTATATGTTACTTTAACTTTATTCGCCACATTTGCAGCTAGTTCCTGAGATGTAGCAACAACAATGGCCAATGGTTGACCATAATATTTAACATTGCTGCTTACAAGAATCTCCTCGTTCTTACTCTCCAATTGAACTCCTGGGCGTATGAAAGAATTAGCTCCCGGAATATCTTTAGCAGTATATACAGCTAGCACTCCGTCTATTTTCTGAAATTATAATGCGAGAACAAAACAGCTCTTTATTTTTAATATATATAATACCTACTCAGGATAGGACATAATTATTATAAACTCTGAATAAAAGAAATAAATTGTACACTATGACACGAATTTTTCATAACAATTTTTACAAATCAACAGGAAAAATAGTAACGGTAATGCAATTTTATAAAAAAAATATAGTTGATTCTAGTATCAACTAAAAATACCTAAAATATAGTTAAAAACTTTACTTAATCTTACCAAAACATCAGTTGTATCTATAGAATCAATCTGTCCCACGTGTATAGTTGATAATACAAACGCGCCGAATACTTCCAAAGGGAACGGTGGTATGTCGTTTACAAACTGCGCTTCTCCGGAGCTTTGGAGTAATGCTTCTAACTTGGGAAGTGGCTGGTTGAGGGGATACAGCGAAGAATCTGTCTGGAAGTCTTGAGTGCCATGAGAGATGGGGCGTTGGAGCAACTCGCCACCAGATCTGTAGCGAGCATCGACAGTACTCGACGGGGCAATACTCAATGCGAACTAAATATTCCGAAAATATCAATTACTTACTAATATTAATTACAAATATGAAAAATTTTAAAGAAATGCGAAATAACATTAAATTTTTTGTCGTAATAATAGTAAAATATATATTTGTACATTTAATATAATAAATCACCTTGTAAAATAGTCCAATTGCTAATTTTTTTCGGATATCTTTTGAATAAAAATCGTTTTCCTCTGGACATATTTCATCATGTAATTTTTTAATAGCTCCTTGTAATACTTTATTGTCAAAGCAATTTTTATTTCGTAAATAATCTTCGGTATGTTTGGCATAGATAAATTCCGTTGAAATATTACCGAACACAATGGTAGCTTCTTTTATAGTTTTATTATCGCTACTCATGTTTATTAAAAATGCTGCATTTACAATAGCTACAGCGTTTTGATTTCTCGGCATAATCTGCAAATTTATAGATATTATTAGCAATCCAGACGCAATTTTAAATCAGATTTATAAGATATCCGATGTTTTACGTTGCAATGGTGTGAATAGTACTCGTTCTAACCAAAAAATAAACAAATATAAATAATTATATTTATATTTTCATTATGAAAATTCCACAAACAATTCAAATCAAATCAAATCATTTATTGCACGAATATGGGTACATACATTAGTTGAAAAAAAATAATTAAATGTCCATTATTCCATATTCTACCATAACAATTCTATTGGTAACCTCGTATATTGTGAAATGTAAGAAATAAAATGTTAATATGTTGTTGAACATATTATCGTCATATCAGTCTTTAACCCTCTGACCGCGTATTATTTTATCGTTTCATTTTCGCACATCATTTTGTCAACAACACTTTGTTACCAGAGGGAGACTTTGTACAAAAGTCGATTGCTTGGGCACCTTTGTCCCATTCGTGTTTTAACCGTGAAGCAGTTGTGTTTGCATGGCTGTGTTTCGGTTTGAAGGGTGGGATATGGCGTGAATTTACAGGGTACAGACCTGAGTCCTCAGGAATGGCAACGCATGGGGGGTATCATGGGCGAAACAGTATACTCTGTTATGTCCATGGTACTGCTCATGTCTATAGGCGACCGTTACCACTTTCCATCAGATGGGCCGTCAGCTTGTTTGCCATTCTAAGTTGTATAAATAAAAAAAAAATAGTAGTACGAGTATTTAGTCATCTAGCGAGATTCTGAGAAACAATATCAATCTACCAAAACAAAAACCGCGGGATAACAACGTCAATAAACATAAAAAATGCGAGCACGTCGAAATCGCGGGATGCGTAGAATTAAACTAGTAGATACTGCACGCGGAAATCGCGGGATGCCCGGTCAGAGGGTTAACTGTCCACTGCTGAACAAAAGCCTCCCCTTTAGGATGTTTTGCCAGTAATTGCCACGTTTGGCAGGCGGATTGGAAACAGCAGTTAAGCTTTAGAGATGTTTTAAGAGGGACGCTGCTGCCCATGCCTTGACCATAAATTCTCTTATTCGCCTTTTACGACAACCAGGGGAAAGGAAGGGGTGGCTATTCTTTGTCGGGACCGACACGACGGTGATAATAACTACAATTAAAGCTATTTCCTGGAGTATAGATGAGAATAAGCAATAAATTGATCCTACCTTGTAACTTTTAAAAATATTCGATGCACCTAATGGAGGTAATGCTATGGACAGCATCAACACTCCTTGCATATTGTATTTAAGAAAGTGCGTCATGTATAAGTTAGTTCTCTGGCCGCTCGAATTTCCTGGAAATTTAAAGGCAAGCAAGGTATTATAGCAATATTGCCTACTGTAGTTTTTCGATTATTCAAATAATCACAACTATAATCATTGTCAATAATGATCGCACTTACTGACAGTAACCACAGCTCCCACTGCAGATAAAAGCAAGAAAACATCAGACGGAAATGACGGCATGCTGTGTTTCAACATCAAATTACCAGCTAATGATCCAATCTGAAACATAGATATATGATAAATAATAAAAGAAACTTTTTTTTTTCATTTAAGAGTTTACTCTTGTCGGTGCAACTAATTCATGCTTTTGTTCATTCCATTAGTTGCTACTTATGGGATTATAGTGCAGTAGTTTCCCATCTTGCTTTCTGCACCGCAGTTCAAAAGAAACTAATTACTTGATAATGTAAAAAACGATTATTGAATATAAAATTTGAATTTCTGTGTATATGTAATTGTATAGACTTATATGCAGTTTGTAATTTCAGAAAAATCCTATATATTTTCTCAGTTTATCAATTAAAAGGAGCTATTTTTTTTTCTTTAGCATATTTTTAATGTAACTTTTCTATCGCTCACCACCTCATATGGCCGCGGGGAACGCCGCGCTGTTATATAATAAACTAGCAACCCACTCTGGCTTTTTTTATGCAACTTAGAATGACAAACAAGCTGACAGTTATGGAAAGTGGTAATCGTCGCCTGTTGACATGAGCAGTACTATGGACATAACACTGTATACTGTTTCGCCCATGACACCTTCCATGCGTTGCCATTCCTGAGAACTCGGGTGTTATTCCTCTGTACCCTGTAAATTCACTGCCATATCCTAACCTTCAATCTGAAACATAACCATGCAAACACGACTGTTTCACGGTAGAAACATGAATGGGACAGAGGTGTGCAAGCAAACGACTTTTGTACAAAGTCTCCCTCTGATGGCATCGTACGGCTGTTAAATAGGAATAATGTGGTGATTAATAATATTTCTGCCGTATCCGTTTAAAGAGTTTTCAAAACTCTACATTGTTTATATTTTTTTTTTAATCTTAGAATGGTTATAAAAAGCTATTTGTATAATATACAATACTGTCGTTGATTTTTTTTTGTGTCTCTAATGAAGAAACACAATACTATCATATATTATTATGTTTTTTTTTTTCATTAAAAACTGTTCCGTAGTTTAAAAGATCTAAGCGTACTATGTACGTTAACGGCTGGATGCGACTTTGTTTTATACAATGTAGAAATTCTTCTACATCGCAAGGATTTCAATTATAAGTTTTTATCATTGGATTATAGTATCGATTATTACCCATAAAAATATATCTATATTACGGTATAAAAGTGAAATATCTACATTACTCACGTTTCGTACAGGAATATGAGCTATACTCTCAAAATGTTTGGCAAATTCGGACAAATAACTGAAATCATCATTTGAATGGGCTACGTCGTTGAATATTTGCCTACATTCCTCCAAAGATGTGTTGGCACCAATAATTAAATTTTGATCAAACTGATATCCTTTTAGTGATTTCACATTGCTTATGTCTATTAGTACTCGAGGATATTCATAAGTTTCATAAATACCTATAAAAATACAAAGTTTTTTTTTATACAACTTATAATGGCCTACCTGATGAAAAGTGGTAACCGTCGCCTATAGACATGAGCAGTACCATGGACATAACAGAGTATACTGTTTCGTCCATGATACTCCCATGCGTTGCAATTCTGAGGACTCAGATGTTATTCCTCTGTACCCTGTAAATTCACGCCATATCCCACCCTTCAAACCGAAACACAGCCATGCAAACACAACTGCTTCACGGTTGAAACACGAATGGGACAGAGGTACCCAAGCATACGATTTTTATACAAAGTCTCCCTCTGGTAAGTTATGGCATATTAATCCCCTGAAAACTATTTCAAATCAATTTTCATTTTAATTCTGTATCAGTGTCTACTATAAATAATTATTACCTTTCGCGGTATTTCCATCGACAAGTTGATAAGATTCGACTCCGTATTTATTAAATATGTCAAAAATATCTTCTTCATCGAAAACTTTATACATTTTCTCCTTTCCGAAATCTAAAACTATAGTTTTCTCAGTTCTAGGTAAAGAATTCTCTAACAAGCTCCAGTCGCTACTGACGCTGTATGTTGAACATTTTCTTTGGCAATTTCTAAAATTTTTGTCACATATTTTCAAATCTTCTATATCCTTCACTCTCTGACATAATTCGGGGCTAGCGTCAACAGCGTAGGACTTAATGACATCTAATATGGGTCTGTAGCCTGTACATCGGCACGTGTTACTGCCAAAAGATTTTTCCAACTCTGCAGTAGTCAGGTGCTTATCCTGTAAACTTTGTAAATATTTTTCGAAAATAAAAATATTGTTGCTGATTATTAACATCTAAACTGTTAGTACTTCAGATTCAGATGAGCTACCAAAATACTGTATGCTGAGTGCCTAGGAAAAGTGAAATATATATGATATTATCTAAAAATTTCTCCTAAAAGAGAACGATTAGCAAAAATCTATGAGCTTGAGACTCTAAATATTTTATTGTTTTTTAACTACTTTTTTTTTGGAAAGAATATTCAATTACTGTAATACTAGTAGGACTCTCTTAAAAATACACTAATGATTTCGATTTCAAACTGTACACTATTGTATGTACCTACCTAAAAATGCTATGTGATGATGAATGTTTTGCACCTGTATCTACAGTTTGCCGGCTGGTTACTAGTTGACTGCTATTTTTAGGTCATTGCACTGTATATAATTGTGTTTAATTATACACATATATGGCATTTATACATAAAGAGTCATTCGTCTTAATCATGATAATGTCAAAAATATGTATACCATAAAATTAAATAGAACGCTATTTATTTACTCCGCTTGCTATACAAGTGCAAAAATAGAAGCAAGTAAGGCTATATAAATTCCTGATTCATGATATGAAAATAATACCTATATAAATTCATGATCCAGCCCGGGGTACAATAACCGCACTGCGTGGCGTTGAATGCCTTGAACCTGTTCTGTATGTCGGAATACCCATCGTGGCGATTGCCCACACCCTCTATGGTGGTAATGTCCCAGCCGTGACAGGAGAACACCAGAACCAAACACTGAAATTGTTGAAGACAAACCTTTTAGTGTTTGTGAAATATTATAATTATTTATATTGGTTTTTGTATCAACCGTTAATTGTCCACTATCTTATCTTATATTCGCATATGGGGTCAGCTAAGCCATTGCACGTCGACCCTTCGGGATCTTTTGCGCTTCCCCCTGCCTTATACCATCAGAAACTACTCATTACTGAACATAGGTCTCTACCTTTTGGGAATTTTGTCAATAGTTGCCACGCTTGGCAGGCGGTTTGGCAACCGCAGATGATATGGCGTGATGTAGCTAAATAAAGTGAAAGTATGGAATATGTATGTGCAAATTGACGAAAACAGTAATTTTTATAAAGATGGTAGGTGTTATGGCAAACACGCCACCTATATACTGATAGAAAACAATGGCGGACTATCAGTGGAAGGTAAAACGAGGACCATGAAATGCGGTTAGTTTGGCCATCATTACAAATTTACTAAAATGGACAACTAGCTACGGCATTACTATCAATCCCATCCCCCTTGACTATAAGATTTGGATTAGTCGTGATGAGATATACAATCACTATATACAGTGATCATGAACTGAACAACTAATGTGATTTATTTATTTATTTAACTCTTTATTGCACCATAAACAAAAATATATAATGACAAGTGAATAATTCAAGTAAAGTACAGTAACATAAATACAAATTAAAATATACATATAAAGTTACAAAAGGCGGTCTTATCGCTAGGGCAATCTCCTACAGACAACCTTTAGTTAAAAGAAATATATATATATATATATATATATATATATATATATATATATATATATATATATATATATATAATAGTACACATACATACAAAATACGTAAACATACACATATAAATACATACATAGCACACACAAGGAAATATGACAAATCTATTCTATTCTATTCCACTACAGAGGAATGGAAAAGAGTAACTACAGTGAAAGAAAATGTGATTTGACTTGTCCTTTAAACGAAGCCAAGGACTGAGCACACCGTATAGACAGTTTACCGATTCGACTTCACGGTTTTTACTTTAAAACTTGTCTATTCCAACTTTTATTGGTTGAATATATGAACATTCATCATTTCAGTCATTATCTGTCTACTGATGAATTTAGCCCTCCCCCATAGACTACCATAAAGAATGGTCCTGACCCACCTGCATCCACTGACTTACTGCAATGTAATCGTCACTCCATATATCGGTCGGTTATCCTACACTGCTTTTGATTGTATAGGGTCACCACTCAACAATTTTTCTTCCCCATCGGTATGAATCTATATTAACATTGATATGCGTTAATCCTGTTACTCACGAAGATAGGCAAAAACAATAGAATTTCACTGGCCAAGTCTGTTTCAAGGTTTCTTCTCTTGTTAAAAAGGCGAGCCACATATTTTTAATGTAAGTTTAATATTATACTTACAGAATTAACGGAGAAGGTTTCCGTGTTGCCGGTGGTCTCCCTGCGCGCGCGCACCGACACCGAACAGGCGCCGCATCCGCCCTCGTAGCACATGGCCTTCGTTCCGGGCAGCGCCAGTACGTACCGCAAGTACGCGTTCAACGTCATATCGCGGGGAGTTCGCACGTCCACTGAAAATTAAAATCATCTATCATCATCATCATCATTTTAGCCATAAACATCCATGGCTGGACATAAGCCTCCCCCATAGACTGCCATAAAGAACGAACAGCCATCTGCATCCACTGACTCAATGTATTTCAAGTTGCATCCACTGACTCCGATTGCTGCAATGTTGTGTTTGCATGGCTGTGTTTCGGTTTGAAGGTTATGTCACAGAGGAATCCATCTCAGTGGGGGGTCATCCCTCTGTTATGTCCACGCTGCGTTTACTAGTAGCTTGTTTGCGATCTAGCGTCCCACTTGCGTTTAACGCGATCGAATTTCTCTTCCCCATAGGTTGTCGGTTCTTCGAGCTATATGACCAGCCCATTGCCACTTGCTTATCCTTCGGACTATGTCGGTTATTTTGGTTCTTTTCAGATATCCTCGTTTCGGAATCATCTATACTACTTCTACTTCTCTTTACTCCTTGTGGTCCATATGTGGACATAGAATAAGCCACCACTTTTTTTCCCATGGGTATCGTAAGTACTAAAGGAAATGGTCGTGGGATGAGCAGCAGCGTTCCTTTTAAATCATCACCAAAACCTAACTACAGTTGCCAACCTGCCTGCTAAGCGTGGCAACTACTGGCAAAACCTCCTTTATAGGGAAGTTCTATGTTTACAGTGGACAGATAATGGCTAATATGATGACGATATGATGAAGTAACTATAATTATATAGGTATTTCATCAATTGACGGTATAACCATAAATAAACGCAGACGTAAAAAAATTCGAGACCTTTAGAGGTAGTATTTCGTAAAAATTGCGTGACTTACATTTTTTTTAGACACGCAAGCACCTTAAATTAAATATAATTAATTTAAAATATTATATAGAAATAAACAACAAGTTTGACAACTTATGTAGGTAAATCCAGTGACCTACAATCGAGTCAATTTAAGTAATCAGTTAAGTACATGTGACTTAGTCCAAATTTGACCCTTTGTCATGATGTTTATTTTATTCCACTACGACAAAACTGTAGCTTATACTACTACCATTGACAACGAAACTATCTTTTTAAACAAAATGTTCACAAAATGTTCACAGTTTGATCAAAATACCTAACCGTTTAGATTTGTGATGTTGTAAGACTTGTAATTTTATATGAAATGTAGTTTTTGTATGTTTATCTGTCTTGCGATATCATCGCAAAGGGGGAAGTATGTTGAGGTTTTATTTATGTTACTTTTAAAAATAGAACTTATTTATTTTCTTTTCTGTCAGATTTTGTTTATTAGAAAATTTATTATTGTACTACATCTTTACAGTGTCGATCCAAATATGGGATAGTATCCCTAATATGAAATTTCTCTCAAACGAACACACACCCAATAAACAGTGATTGTCTCTCTCTTTCTATCCCTATTCGCCGTGTCACACGCACTGGTCGTTTGATCAAAATACCTAACCGTTTAGATTTGTGATGTTGTAAGACTTGTAATTTTATATGAAATGTAGTTTTTGTATGTTTGTATGTTTGTCTGTCTTGCGTTTTATATCATCGCGAAAAGAATGGAGTTCAGAGCATATGACGGAAGCTATAAAATTAGTAAGAGAGAAAAAAATGGGTTATTTGAGAGCTGCAAAACACTTTGATGTGCCTAGATCTACCTGATCTTGTTTCGATTATGGGAAGGAAAACTGTATGTTGAGGTTTTATTTATGTTACTTTTAAAAATAGAACTTATTATTGTATCTAATTATGGACTATTCCATAATTGGCGTTGATGATTTTGTTAATTATAAATTTTTCTGTTTTATCAGAATGGCGGGTGTCAACAAAATAAAGCGAAAAGAATGGAGTTCAGAGCATATGACGGAAGCTATAAAATTAGTAAGAGAGAAAAAAATGGGTTATTTGAGAGCTGCAAAACACTTTGATGTGCCTAGATCTACCTGATCTTGTTTCGATTATGAAAAACGAATCTTTTCTGTCAATGAATATTTTGTTTATTAGAGTTTTTAAATATCATTATTATTGTACTAGGGGGAAAAATATAATATATCTTTATTCCGTATTTTCTATTTTATTGTTCTATCCAACGAACCTTTCACATACCGAATGAGGTGAAAAAGTAAAACCGTTATTAATACAATACAATATAAGCCCGAAACTCATTTGGCAGGTGTGAATAAGTTCTAATCAATTATACGTTTGAATTAATTAGTTTGAAATGAATGTAGTTACAAGTAAGTGTGATGTATTTGGATTGCATTATTTTCATTTAATTACCCTTTATTATCACTTTAAATACGAAATTACAAAACATTCATAAATATTTCTTATTAGAATTAATGGAAAAACATATCTAATTCAATTCAAATAAGGTTTATAACATTCACAAATTAATTACCCTTTATTATCACTTTAAATACGAAATTACAAAACATTCATAAATATTTCTTACTAGAAAATAATGGGGAAACATGGATCAAGGTTTATAACATTTAACCGTACGTACGTAAAAGTACGTGAATACTTGCTAATTTTGAAACTTCAATTCCATAAAGATAAATCCAGAGTTGTCACATACACAGGTTTATAAAATGCGCACACTGTTGTAACAATTTTCTTATCTCGTTTTTGTAATTGCTTTGCCAGTCTGTCAGTACATAGTATATTATACTACATCTACGAGTCAATATAGAAATACATCTATACAATATAATTTAACCCAAGATATTTTTTAAAGCTGTCTTTTTTTATATCACGAAGGTGGCAAACAAGCATACAGCCTGTCTGATGGTAAACAGTAACTGTAGCCTATGGACGACTGTAACACTAGAGGTGTCACGTGCGCGTTGTCGACTTAAAGATCGTCACTATACACGTGACACTATTCAGTAATGTAAACCTTAGGTTTATACAGTCAACCTTAATAAACTTTTTTTGAGGGACCCCAAAATGTAGTCTCTAAAAAAACCAGTTTATTATCAAATATAATGTTTACTCTACTCGACAATAGATGGCATAAAATAATAATAAAATTGAAAACGCTTCTCTGATAAGATTTTTGTATCTATGAAAAATACAACATTCGACGATTACTTCGAAACTCGCATAGAATTACGTGTTCGAAACATAAAATGTATCATGTAAAAATGTATAATTACATTCAAATTTTAGGCTTCTATGTATAATTGGCATAATTCACATGCAAAAAAATTAATAAACATGTAACTAGATACATATTACTATTAACCTGTCATTTTAAAACGGAAAACCATAATTAATTATTATTATGATTTACGTTTATGGATATTCGTAATTATTTGCTACATTGTAACACATTGTAATAATGCCGCCACTAATCTGGACATTATAGTGAACGTGGGGGGGGGGGGGGGGGGGGGTAAGAGATATTTTAATAATGAAATTTTTTTATACAACTTAGAATGGCAAACAATCTGACGGCCCACCTGATGGAAAGTGGTAACTGTCGCCTTTAGACATGAGCAGTACCATGGACATAACAGCGTATACTGTTTCGCCCATGATACTCCCATGCGTTTCCATTCCTGGAGACTCAGGTGTTATTCCTCTGTACCCAATAAATTCACGCCATATTCTACCCTTCAAACCGAAACACAGCTATGCAAACACAACTGCTTCACGGTTGAAACATGAATGGGATAGAGGTACCCAAGCAATCGACTTTTGTACGAACTAACTGACCCATGACTAGCAATATACTTTAACAGGTCGACCTCCACGCGATTCCCGCTGGAAAACATCGTGATTAATCTTTGACGAATTAATCACGATGGGCCAACTGATATGCTTCATCCTCACTGGTGCCCCGCCAGCGTATATCGATAGCGCAGGCGAGGTTTCCATTTTCATGTATTAAAAAAAACACACACATTGTAGTACAGTTGAATCATACTTTTATTTTTCGCTTTTTTTTTAAATGTAAATATTTGCATGTCTACATCGCTTAAGACAATTAAACAGGTGCTAAAATAGTATTACACGTGGCTTTTGTAATCATTATAAGACTGTTTTATGCAAATGAGAAATTAGTTTATTTCAGTTTTTAACAGTAATCGTTGTATTTTATATTAACTTTTTCCCGTGTCCATATACGCGTTATCTTTAAAAGTAAGTAATAAAACATATATCACATTTTAAATTCAGCTATCACGAACACAACTGCGAAAACCGTATCCAATTCGGTGCAGTAGATTTTACATGATGACAGAAAACATACACAGAGACAGAAATTAAAAAAAAATAATGTATCTGCTTCTATTCATTATCGTCACCATATCACCCTTAAATTGTCCATAGCTAAATATAAGCCTCCCTCTTAGGGGGTTTTCAATTATATATTTATATTTAATTTTTCTACTCGCATTTCAGAGTAGGACCTCTAATCCCATATCTTTCGCACTTATTTAATAATATTGTATGATTTAGATTGTCAAAGGCCTTAGTCATGTCAAAAAATATTCCTGTTACTCTCTTTTTATTGTCAATATAATGTGTCAAATTCCGAATAACAGAAAATGCAGCTAATGTTTTGCCAGTAGTTGCCACGCTTGGCAGGCGAATTGGCAACCGCAGTTAGGCATTAGAGATGTTTTATGAGGGTACGCTGCTGCTCATCCCTCGCCCTCCTTTAGTCGCCTCTTACGACACCCACGGGAAGGGAAGGGATGGCCTATTCTATGTCGGGACCATATGGCCACTATTGATATTCTGTTTCTATTACTCTTATTTAAACCCATCATATCAATTTTAACCGATTTCACAAAAGCAACCACAGTTAGGCCTTGATAATATTTTAAGAAGGACGCTGCTGTCCATCCCTCGACCTTTAAGTTCCCTTAGTCGCCTTTTACGACACCCACGGGATAGGAAGGGGTAGCTTGTCACCTCTTACGATACTTATGGTAAAAAAAGAGTTGGCTCATTCTATGCCGGGGCTACACGGAAATTTATTTATTTACACTTTA